GGCGCGGTGCGGCGCGGCGCAGAGCGAGAAATTTTCAGTGACGGCTCGTTCAGAGTGGGCAAAACATTAGTGAACAGCGGAAGATTCGGACAAGGGGGCGGAGAAGTCATACTCCATCTTAATACAATTGTTTTTAATTGCATTCGATTTATTCAAAACAACTGTCTCACTGATATCATTGCATTCCAACGCATTATTTCCATGAGGCACGCGCACACGTGATTTCAAGATATTCAGGTTCTAAAACCATATTGCGAATTTGTGATGCTCTGACAATTATTCAGAATTCGGATTCATTTTTTTCTAGGCGTTTAAGATTTACTGAATACGTGATATTTTAGAATTTGATGTTTTTGTACAGCTTTTGATAATTTTTTAATGTCAAATTATCGATCTCTTTTGAAAACACTCTCCCTAAATGACAATAAAGACATTAGCAACAAAAAAGCTTAGCTTTAACTCCCCTATCCGTTAGCCATTTGGGTGAATGGCTGTGAATTTTCGAAGAGAGAGTGAATTTTCTTACATTTTTTCGTCAGCATGATGTACAACTGTACTCGACAATGAAATAGGACGGCCATTGTCCAAAATTTGTCTCTTTCCTACATCATTAAGACAAGAAAACGACATCCGTAGAAGATTATTCACTTTATGACATAATATTAACGTAAAATCGTATTTAAATATAAAAAATATATTAACACTACTAATCCGTAGCGTTCTAACTTCAAATGAAAAATAAATACTTCCTAAATAACTTTCTCTTCTTGTCAACTCGTCAACAAAACAGTACACACGCGCACTTGCATCTGAGTCTTGTGTGCGGTTAGCGAATTCATTGGCCTACGCACAACTCGCATGCGTCAAATATGGCATGCTACTGTTCTGCGCCCTCTACAGGAAGGCGGTGCGAAGCGGGGCTGCGCTCGGACGTGCCTGCCTGCCCTGAGAGCTGCAAGCGGGCGCAGGTCTCTGCGGGCGGGAAGGGACGAGTTGGGTCGCATGGCGCCGGGGTGGAAAGGAAACGCTTGAAGCGGAAATATGGCTCGGACCACGATAATGGAATGTTCATTATACATTTCCAGATAAATAATTATAATACTTACGCCGTATTGAAATATTGTAAGAGTCATTTACTTTATGTTATTATTATGAAATGAATTAAACTAAACATATTCATCCGGGTAGGCAGTGTCTACCTTGCCTACCCCAAGGATTCGCCACTGGAAATCTCTCTCTCTCTCTCTCTCTCTCTCTCTCTCTCTATATATATATATATATATATATATATATATATATATATATATATATATATACATACTACTAGTACGATTAGCAACGCCTTTGCTGGGCGCTAGGGTAGCACTGAAGTCAAGAAACTGCGCGTGACGCCATTTCACTATCATCCCGTTCGAACACCGTTCGCGATGTACACATGAGCATTTTGGGGCGACGCTCAACTGTTTCAGAATCAGTCAAAAAAAGATCCTGGTCTGACATCAGTGGGGGAAATACGAGTAATCTTACAGCGCCTGCATTAGACCATGTGTGCAGCATATTGCATAACTCTCAGGCGTACCGTTCGAAACGTCCATTCTGTTTCTTGACTTTCTCAGTGTTACCCACTTCTTTAATGCATATCAGGAGCAATCAGTGAGTCAGGCATGAATATTTGCTCTCAGAATTCCTGTGGGTGAGTCCTCAGTTTGTTCCGATTTCGTTGTTATTTTTCAGTTTTAACTTTTTCGTACTTAAAAGATTTCGTATTGTTCTACACGCAAACCCTCTTTTAGCAGATACGTTAGTAACTATTGACGAAAAACTTGAAGAAAGGCGACTTTAGGTGACATGCCTTGCATAAACTTTCAATATTTGAAGGCTATTACATACAAACAAGAGTTCATTCAATGAGAACAATATCCGTCAAGATGAAACGGGCTGTGAAGAAATACCTTTGAATTTATCGACTTTATGTTGAAAAATCTTAATCGATATTACAGATGGTCGAATATTCGATAAATGACATATTTCCGTTAGTTCATTCATTGGAATTTCCACTTAGTTGCAAAAAACTGTGCGACTGATCTCCCACGCTTTGATTGTGAAATTTCATATCTACTTTACTTCATGCCAATACCATTTATTTCATACAAATAGATGTAAAGGTAGTAAAATATAAATATCTGATATGGTGTAGATAATAGAAAGATATTAAGCACATGAAATGAGTACTTGCGTTCAAATATTGTTCTTTATTAATCATAAATAAAATTAAAATTATGGACTTAAGGCAAGTAGATTATATTAGAAAATATATTTGTGCTCTGAATTATGTTCCTTTCTCGGCAATGTCTGCGTAATAACGAAAGGAGAGAAAAGAGTTGTTTAAAGTACTTTACAAACCACTTCATTTTTGCGCATCAGTTATCGAACGTTTTAGAAAATCATATTTCTGAATTTCGAATAGCTACTGTTTTTAACATTTTGGATAGTCACATCAATAATAACTCGCATATCTAATCGAGATCTTCATCTTAAATACATGACGAACACCTTAGTAAACAGATTGCGCTTCACGATCCTATAAGAAACTGAATGGGAGAGCTGCTCACCAGGCTGGAATTGAAACCAACCATTCCTTTTAATAAACAAAACAATTACGTTTCAAAATATAGGATATCAGTTCACCTATCCAAACGCTGGTATAGTGCAAAACCATTACGGAGATCTGGTTTGATTTTTCTCAACACGCGTTCCTACGCACTTTATCTGAATTGATTGATTGTTAGTGATTCGTCATTAGTCCCGTAAGTGTAGTGCAACGTTTTGCTAGGGAAATGGTGTATGACGAGATCCGGCGCCGACCTACAATCGGCTAGCGGAGGGTTCCCAACCAGGTGTCTCCCGCCAGCGGAGCACCGCCCCATCCGGGACAGACTCTACGTGTGTGGTAATGTAGAGCATGTGTGTGTGTGTATGCGTGTGTAAGGGGGAGGATAGGACAAGGAAGAGGTAAGAAAGATGACGCGCAGTCCGTTTGTTAGGGTACTGCTCCGGCATTCGCCTGGTGTTGATCGGAGAAACCACGGAAACCTACCGATCAGAGCTGCAGGCTGCTAGAATTCTCCTCCAGGCCGACTGAATTCAACCAACCTGACGAACTAGTGTCGAGAATCCTCCCACCGTTGGGACTCTAACCTTGGACCTCCCGGTCAGAGGGTCTGCAGTGACATCAGTTGATGCCCTGAGTCTCCAGGCCCTTTATCTAGAGCGGTTTGGGGTCTGACGTGAGGTCACGTTTTGAACGTGAAAGCCTGATGATGTTTCGTAAAGCACGTGTTGTGCGCACGCGTTAAATTGTTGACCATTACGTTCTGGGATGCTGCGAAATTCACAGTACCGAGATGTGCGCTTGACAGTGCCTTGCTGATCTGCCACCTTTCGACCAGTTCCACTCTAGAAAATGTGTAATTGTCAACAGATGGCGGTAGTAGTCATAGATAGCTATAATCACCGCAGTAAGATTGCAGTAAAATCGGTCTTGATCGTGTAAAACAATTTTATCGTTTAAAATGTAACAATTTATAAAATCAATTATTACATCGAATTATCAATAATAATCTTATTTACCATATGACATATAAACCTATAAACCTCAATAACCTCAGTAATCATTCAGAGATTTCTATATAATTTCTGGGTGTAATTTTAAAGTTTCCAAAATTCTATAACTTACAATATGCTTCATTCTCTATCGAGTCTCTGTGACCATTTAAAATTACGTTTCCACAAAATACGAAATGTTTTATAAAAAACATGCAGAATTTAATATTTTATGGTTGCTTGTTTATTTTTACTTTTTTTCCTCAGACCGGTCTTGTGAAATATTTATGATTTCTCGTGAAAGGCACTGAATTTGTATTTATGGAGATGGGAACGTCTAGTGATGCTGTAGGTACCGCGATCTTAAAATCGTCTCTATCTGAGATAGATATTTTCTACAAACACCTTGAAATGAAAATGCGAAATTCCAAGAAAATGTCGCAATAAGAAAATTGGTGACAGAAGTTCATTATACCGCTCTTGTAAATTCAACACATGTCATTGCCGTTATAATTTCAATTTAAATAACCCAAAATACTTTACAAACGCATACGACACAAGTGAATAAAAAATAAAAACTTATTGTAACCCCACATACTGTCACAAAATTCGATATACTAAGTTAACTGATGTCGATAACCCATGATTCCAATTATTTTTTACGTTTCTTTCTCAAGTTAACTTCCTCTTAATGAAATAGGAATAGCTTAAAATAAATAGTGTTTTGTTTCATTTTCTTTATTGTTTTTATTTCTATCTGAATTTTCACTATTTTGTCACGAGATTTTAAAACTAAATATCCAAACCTCTCGTATTTAATCGTGACAACAATTTAGCATTTTAAATTTGCCGCATAGAGTTAAACGCTCTGAAAAATTTACCGCAAGCTTAAAGCTCAAGTTAAAGCTGACGTGTCAAAAGAAACTATAAGGCAATAACTAATTCTACTAGACATTATGAAGAGTATGTCAAGTCTTCAGGAAAAAAAACTTCTTAAAACCAATACAAAATTACACTACGCGGGAATCCTGTCAAGATACGGTGTAGAAACGTGTCTACCTAAGCTTTCTAGTGACATAATAATTTTGTTGTCAACGGTAAGGCACGTTTTTTTTATTCGGCGCATGTGCTTGCAATCACTGAAAAATATCACTTACATAATATTTATAAATTTACTTACCGGCAATACTCGCAGTGGAATGGGTATTGCAGTATATCAATGGTTAGAGATTGCAGATGAAGTGTAGACAGTGTTCCCATAAGTTGAGATGGCACAAGGTTCGAAAATATGAAAATTGCGCGGTAAATGAGTACTTTATATCGACTCCTATTGTCACACAATCCTACGTACCTTTCGTTTCTAGGTATTTTTCAGCTACCGGTCCCTAGGAAGCGTCTATCATTTAGGACTTCCTGGAAACCCAATATTGTTGGGGTTGCGGCTTTGTACGGAACAGTAGTGGTGGGGACACTGAAGGCGGCTAGCTTGAAATCGTGGAAGGAGGGATTGGATCCGCAATGAAGGAAATACGGAAGTCGATGAACCCGCGGAAAGGAAAGTTGCCAAAGAGGCGTGATGTTGCTTAATAGAGGTGTTTACTGGAGCGATTCTAGAACGACGGTCGTTCACCCTGTGATGTGAATGGAACGATTCCGTGTCTGCTCGGGAGTAGATATTGATTGAAACAGCTGACAGGAGAGCGGGCGCGCAGCGCGTGTCTGGAGATATTTCCTTGAGGCTGTCAGGTTTGTTGAGAAAGGAGTGTGAGTATGTGGGAAGTAGACTGTTTTTATGGGGTGCGATCAATAGTGAGTCCCCATTGATTGTCCGTTTCATCTTGTAGCCTCGATTTGTTCCCATTTCGCCTTCTACGGCGCTTCTGACAAGCGAAGATTCCCAACTACTGTGTCCCGGGTTCAGTGCTTCCCCTTTCCAAAAAAAAATCGTATTGCTTCGTGCCATGGTCCGCCCTCTATCGCATGTTGATATGTGTTATGTAATAGCTTCCCTGGCCGATGTTACAGATGAGCTTAGCTGATGGTGTAGTGTTTTTTCTGAAATGGAAGCACTTAAGAACGATGCCTTAATAGGAGAGGTTATGTCACGCATGTATTAAGATTAGGAACAAGTAATGTGAAACTTTTCGAGTTTAAATATATCCTTATGTACCCTTATTTGATACAATGCTTCATTTATGGCTTTGGAAAATGAAAGTATTACATTTTTTTTTTACATTTTGCAGGTCCATTTTCAGAGTACAGTGCATTTTGTGAAGACATCATTTATGCTGCTACCTTTGCTGTGGCTGTACTCTTGCTCACTGCCAAAAGAAGAGAAGCAGATGCTATTGTAGCCCATCTCTTGGGTGTGTTGCTGGGGTCAGGGTGAGGGCAAGGGCATGGCTGCCAAGATGCCAGAACTGAACTACTCCTGTGAGATTTGTGGGGTGGAGGGGCTGAACGATGAAGAAATGCGTTCTCATATGGTTGTGTTCCACCTGGAAGGTGCTGCTTCCTGTCCCTTTTGTGATTTGGGTGATGTATGTATAATGCTGTAATCTATGGTGCTACTATTATACGCACAAGTTTTCTTGAACCCCAGAATACCCATTCCCTTCCCCCTACGAACACTAATTGAATTTAAAATTAAAGATTGCATGGATATTCTTGACAAAATCTGCTAACCAGACATTTGTGCTTTTGTCTAATAGTACCTTCTCTCATATTAATATGAGCTACAGTTTCGATTTAACATTCCTGTCATCAGTATAACCAAACCTTCCGATTTTCTCCCATTTAGAAGCTTCCAAAAATGTGCATGTATAATATAAACTGTTCAGTTTCAATCTAGTGTAACTTCAATCCACAACAATGATTGACCACTTATTATTTAGATAACAATGACTTTCATTGCCCATTAACAGAAATTATTAGTTTAATTGTTTAAGTTCATACTTATGCTAGCTAAACCACTAGTCTATTAGTTCACAGTCATTATTGACGAGTATATTTCATCAAAAGGGAATAAAGCTTTTCAAACAAGAAATTTGTTGTGTAGGTATCAGCAGAAGAGATGCTGATGCATGTGAACAGTGCACATTTGGACTATCTTACTCCCGAACAAGAACTGCTGGCGTTTATTGATGATGAGGTGGATGAGGAAGAGACATTAGATCGTGTTAGTGATGTGAAACAATCTTCAACACCGGCTTGGTCTTCAACTCCAACACCAAGAACTCCTAGCTCAAGTTCCCAAGGACGTTCCTGGAATCGTAACCACAACAATAACAACAATAATAATAATAACAACAATGCATGGGAATCTGGGAGTTCTTGTTTACCAGGTAACTGAAAATAATATTCTTCAGAGAAATATTGAAATAGTTTTAAACTCTTTCTTTCTGTTTTAGAAAATTCTCTTGTGTTTTTCTTCACTGGATAAGATTTTGACTTAGAATTTTATTTTGTGATTTTCTTTGCAATAGCAATCAGATATCTTGAATATTACCAATTATTCATGAATAGGACAAAAATAGCAAAATTGAAATAATGTTGAAGATCTTTATAATACCTTTTGCATAGTTTTTAAAAGAAGATGTTTGAAGATGTAAAATTTTTGTTTCCTGTTGTATGCATTTTATAAAAATGGTATTAAGTTTGGAAAATGCTATCATTTTGTATTGATTTTATTCTTATTTTAATCACTGTTTTTTGTTGATTATTAAATTAATGATGACTTAACTTTTTTATGGCAGGAGCTTATAAATATGGTGCATGCATAGATTTTTACCTCATTTTCATTGCTTTGTATCATATAAAATAAAATAGTTTTATGTTATATTTATTATTTAAAACAAATATATTATTGTTTTACCGTTTCAAAATAAAAATCTCTAAATATTTTCCAATTTAGTAGTTGTTTATATCACATTTAATTTCCAAATGTTTCCTCAGGATTGGCACCATCTGTGGGCGGAGCCTCTGAAGCGAGTTCAGGGTCTCCATCTCGATCCCAACTTGCGCTCAACCTGCGGCCACCAGTGGTAGCCCCTGGCCTGCGACCATCTGCCGGTACACCTCAACAATGTCCCCTTTGTCAGCACACCAGCAACGACCCTTTACGACTAGAAGAGCATATCAACCGACAGCATTTTGACCTGACTAGTCCATCGTTCCCCGCTGGAAGTAGTCCAGGGGCACGAAGCGATGCCTCGTACAACTGCCCTCTCTGTGTTCGCTCCTTCCAGAACAGTCCAGATCTGGAATTGCATGTCAACATTGAACACAAGGACATTCTCAGTCCAGCCAAGGTGGGTTTAAATCGTGAAGGTTCTCGCTGCTTCATTGGAAACTTATTTTTGTCATAAAAAGTGCAATTTGATGTTGACAGTGATACTCATTGTAGTGAGCATAGCAGTGATTCAACTCACTTTTACATCTTAAATATAAATATGATTTTTCAAGAAAGCAATAATAAGGATTTTACCTTTAAAAAATAAATCTTATTAACATCTTTAGTGTGATTCCTCTTCAATAAATACTCTATTCCTACCAAGAAGCTACTTAACAAAGTTAAAATGAAAGTATGCAGATGAATTTTATGTAACAAAATACATTCTGGTAAAAGAAGTGCAATGTACTCAAACGTTAAAACCTCAAATCTCCATAAAAATTCAGTTGTATATATCACCGAATTTTTCTTTCTACAATCTCATACTTGTTACAAGAAAGTAGGTGAATCTTTTCATAGAATGATTTGCATTTTTAATATTGAATTCCTAGTGAAGTAAAACTATAAAAAGTTCAAAACTGAAGTTGTGTTCTGTAGGGTCCAAAGAGTTGTCAAATATGTTAGATGTTCAATAGGATTGAGAGATTTTTTGAGAATAAACTATTTTACTTGGTAATATATGATAATACCAAGTGGTAAGAAAAGTATTTAAAAAATCAGAACCAAATTAAAAAAATTAATTCATACTAAGTCAGAGATATATATCAGAGAAGCTTTGTTAAAAGGATAAAAAATCTTAATATTTCACTGTTTTTAATGTGCCTTTATTAAACTGAAAAGATTTTTAACTGTCTGTCTGTGGGGTAATATGCAAGACAACTTCTTATTTTGCAACAAGGGCTAGTAGTCTTTACCCTTTTTTCCTGTTTGTCATTTTAACACTGAATTTTGTACATATGAAGTCACAAATTAGTTCCAAATACTTTGTATTATGAAGCAAACTGTATCTGTTATTATTATGAACATGTTCAGCTTTCTTTTTCTAAAACATTCAATAATGTTTCAAGAATTGTTTGGTATTTGCCTCTTGCATGCTGCGAACTTGACCCACAGGTGCTAAACAAAGAAAAAATGTCTACCTTTCTTGCTATTGGAAGAACTTTGAAACTGCTATGGGGAATGTCTACAGTCTGTACATCATTGTTTTAACTGCTGCATTGGAAATAGTTCACCTCGTCTGGAGACGTCTAAAAATGCGTGTTTGGAGAGTTGTAAGTGAAAGACTTTGCTCTTAAACAGTGGTGTTTTGCAACAAAATTCAAACGGGTAGACAGTAGTAACAAGGCAGGATTGTTTTGAAAGTGGTGGTCCCTACTTACTCTGAACTCTAACTAATCTCTAAACACAATAATACAGCAATGAATCACAGGGTATTCAATGTTCCATGAACCACAGGATATTAAAGACAAATATTCCTCAGTTTTAAAGTGAAGTGCTTCTTATCCAAAAGGAGTTGTACTCTTGGTTATGCTGCGATACATGTGCAGAATTAAATGTGGGACCCTTAGGCTCCTGATTGAGGTTTCTCGTTTCCTTGTTGGCAGAGAGCAAATTTGGTGCAACTTCTGTCTTCCTCTTTGGCATCATTCAGAATTTTAAAAACATCTATTAATATTTATGTAAGAGTCTGTTTATCTGTTCCTTGTCTTTTTCTTCAGTGGGTAGATGGTCTATCTTGCATCCTCTCATGCTACATCACCGATTTTAAACACCTCCCTTCATGTGACCAATGAAGTCTGTCTTTAATGAGATTTCATAAAAATAAATATTCTTGTATTAGGTCACAAAGCACAGCCCATATGAGTAACAAAGCCAAACATGGAGTGTCTATTTTAGAAAGAAAATTCTGTTAGTGTTTCTGAAGAGAAAAAAGTAAAACAATAAGTAAAAAAAAAAGAAGAAGAAAAGAAAATGAAACAAGCATGCAGGAGTTTGCAAAGAGATGAATTTGTATTTCATAGTGCAAAATTCATTGTTGAGAAATTATGATCAGATACTTGAAATTCAATGAAGAGAGAAAAGTTCAACTTGGAATGGGAAATGGTTACCAATGTGGGTATGCTATGAGAACTCCACAATTTGTTTGATGTATGATAGAAAAATTATCACATCATCTATCATAATACGATAGGATAGAAAGATTTCAAAATGAAAAATTGAACATATTTTTCATAATTTAATGAATACCAGGGGGAGTTGATTGTATTTAGTTCTTTCCTAATTATATTTTAAAATTTGAACAACTGTAATTTGGATTTTCGTAGCTTTGTTTTGAATAATGGGCATAAACTTGTAAATAATTTTAGGCAGTTGTTGTTAAATCAGTGAACTTACAGTTATTACCATTACTAGTAAAGCAACATGTAACAGTGAAAGAATTTACTTCACAATATTGTCATAGAGTGTCTAGATGTAACAACTTTATCAAATATGTTGAATTGAACTATCCTGTAAAGAGAATAGATTAAATTTACCCTAAACATTATCAGATCTTTTAAAGAATGATTTTGCCAGGTAAACAATTAACTCTATCTTTGGTCATATTAGCTTTCAATCTACCTGACTGTTTCTTTAAAAATGTAGCTCTACGATAAGGCCATTCCTGAAATTTTTCCTCCAGGCTGATCTATGCTCTGCAATGATGATGAATCCCTCCTTCGCAGTTCATCACCAGGTAAGAAGTGCAAAAGTCACTTCAGGACACGAAAAACAAAGAAAAAGACAATAGATACATTGAGAGAGTGATGAATGATTTTAATAAATTATTAAGTCTTCAAAATTTTTTAATGGTTTGATTTATGTTTTGATTCTCATTATTAGGGAATGGATCTCTATGTGAAAACAATTTTTCTAAATGTTAATATCAGTTTTAATTTGCATTATCTTTGTTTCACAATGTGTAGTGTTAAAAAATGCAACTTTTATTTTCCATATTTTTTATTTTGGCACATAGTTGAATATATTTTCTGTATTTTGTATAAATCAGTCCATGTAGGATGTTAAACTTAACAGTGAAATTTAATTAAATATTAAAAATGCATCTCAACAATAAGAGCTTAAAAAAGTGTTCAGAAATTCCTTAAGTATTAGAGATTCTCTAAAAATTGAGGGGAATTGACAATGGGAAAGCAAGTTTTAAAAAAATGTTAAATGTTTTTAATTTATATGAAGAATAGATCCATTATCTGGCTTTGTCTGAGGGACCTGAATGTCCTGCAAGGTGAAGGGAGGTTTAGGAGGTGATGAACTATTGAATTGTTTGGCAGATGACTTTGAGATGACAATGGTCTCTGGGAAACACACATCGTTTCTGTATTACCCCCTCTCCTTCCCTCTGAGGCAGCCTCCTGGAAACCACATGATGTCACAGAGACGTAGACATCAGAATTCAATTTATACAGCTCCTTACTGTCAGTTACAATCCTTTGAGAATACTACCTGTTGATTCAGTTCTATTGATCTCAGTATTAAGCCAAAGCAAATGTAAATTACCAAAAGAAGCCCAGTCAGCCAGTGTAAAATTAAGGAGTTACATTTCAAAATTTAAAGATGAAGGTTAATCATCTCACAACAAAATGTTACTTTGTAATTTACCATACTCATT